GTAGAGTTTAATATTGTGACGATTTCAAGTGTAATAATGCTTACCTATGAAATAAAGATTTTTTTGAATTTGAATTTAAATATGTCTCAGGGGTAACAGGCGCAGTGGCAGTGCCCCTCAGATCATTGTAATTTAAAGCTCTGAGTGGCACTGCAGCTGTCATGGACAGGCGTGTAGCTTACCATCAGACGCACGACTTGTTCGTCCCGTCACTTGATGTTATAAAAAAAATATTATTTTATGCTCTCGCCTCCCCCAAGGCCTAAAAAATTAACTTTTGAATGGGAGAGGCGGTACACAGTCGGCCTGGGTCAAGGATTCAAGAACCGGTGAACAACACGTGCCGTATGGAGCAGGACGGCTTTCTGAATTTGTACTATAAGCGACACGCCACAGAAATCCAACCGCCTCAAGCCGTTAGCAAAGCTGACTGAAATTAACCCATTTGCGGACAAAACAATTGGGATTGTTTCAGTGATCACACATGTCGGTGAACTCGTGCGCCGGCGTTTCTCGGTTTCGGCTTTCACGAGACCCTCGTCATGCGGAATGGTAACGTCCATAAGAAATACTTTCGACTAAGATCGATCCAATATCACAATATCAGGCTTATTCGCAGAATAGTCCTGTCTGTGATAATGGATCGATCCCAGTAGATTTTGGTACGGTCATCTTCGAGTATTGGCTCCGGTAATGTGGCATCTAATAACTTGTAATATGGCATCCTCTGTTGCACGAGTCCGTACTTCAGAGCGAGCTCTTGGTGTAATATTTTGGATGCCTGGTTGCGTCTGTGCAAGTACTCAGTGTTAGCAAGAGGGTAACTACCGGAAACAATATGCCTAAGTGACTCTCCGAGACGGCCACATGCCCGACAAATGTCTACGGTACCGTCCTTTGCGTCCATGATGGATAGGTGGTTCGCTCGTTGTGGCCACAGAACAATAAATACAATACTAATGCTTACACTGTAATAGAAATTGACACTATAATAGAAAACGAATTAATTATGTGTACTGGTGACACTAGCTCAGCTGACGATTTTGGTTCGTCTTCAGATAAAAGTGAATAAAAAATTAAATTATGACGCCTTTGGTTTTACTTCAGAGTTTTGCTATATAACTACAGGATGTCCTTGTGAAATCTGCTAATGTAACTCACTACAACAACAAGTAAAGGTTGTCGTTGTGATCATTTAAAATAATTATTATTTATATTGTACTGTATAGTATTTCAATAACCGTTAATCGTAAAGGGCCAAGAGCATGTCAAGCTTGACACTTAAGATTTAAATCCAACTCTATGCCGCTTACGGTAAAAACGGTCCAAAGTACAAAGTGTCAAGCACGCGCATTCAGTTCAAATATTATTATCAAATTATTTTTACAACCAGTAGGTCAAAAGATTATTATTTTTATTTATTATTATTATCTAGTAATATGAAACCGTGCCACTATTACTACAAGGTAACCTAATGCAATAGCGTTATAAATTACAACCTCATATTTACCTATCTAGAAACTACTTTACTATGGATATGTTTCAAAAAAATTTGTGTTTATAAGTAAAAATACAACTATTTTGTATTGATTTTTATTTTCAATCATTCCAGGATTTCACAGGAACGTATTATACGCTCGCATATATCACTAGAACTTTAGGTACATGTACTCTGCCTGTTTCGATCTCTGATAATAATTGTCCTTACCACTAACCGAATAAAGTAAATGAACATGCTGTCACTTTCGGTTTTGCAAATTTAAACCCTTTGTTAAAGTGTAATTATTGGAATATGGAGGGTTTATCGTAACCCTAATATCTGTTCATTAACATGAAAGCCCTTAAGTTCATTCCACTAATGTTGATTTTATGTAATTTTCTGCATTGTTTTGGCATTATTTTCTTTATAAATTAAACTTAATATGCTTAGTATTAGAATTAATGTAAGGTATCGCCATTACAATAGGGATAGAAGTTCACAACATACTTCCCCAGAAAATGACGCTTTGCGGACTTAAACTGCCTCAGTGGCTGAACGGCTACCACGCTGGACTGCCACACAGAGGTATCGGGTTCGATTCCCGGGCCCACATAATACATAATGTATTTATCTCGTGCTGGGTTTGGGTGTAATATGTGGTTATCTATGTGTCTGTCCATGGCACCCAGTGTTTGATTATGTGTACCAGAGAACGGAATTCTAGGGCTTTTCACAGAACACCCAGACCAGAAAGGAATATAGAAAGTTCATTTCCCAAATGGTCCTACCTAAATCGTTAGGCCACCGAGGTTATCAACGAATTTAAGAAACAGACGGAAATGGTAGCGTGGTCAGACTCTCATAAGTATGGTAGCCGTCGAGGCCGTTGTATTATTATTATAAATAAAAACCTACAAGTTATTAAAAAGACAACATAATTTAAATTTTATCCTTGTCATATAAAGTCTGCGTGATTGAAATCTACCCTAATTTTATTTCATCAAAAACTAGCAACCCATTAAACGACACTTGAATGCCAAAGGATCCCTTGTCGTGCTGTCCCGCCAATGGGCACCAAGCCTTATTCCATATTACGTTATGTTTTGTCCATTAGAGGCCAAAACATGTTTACACCGCTTAACAATTGAAGCTATCATCGCGAAAGTAGTGTAACCCAAATTTTTTTTTTCTGATATATCACTATAAATGATACAACATAGAAGTACATAATTATTTTATATTTGGATGCTATTTTCGTGTGTAAAAATTATGTCGTTATATATTTTTTAATATAAAAATAATTAAATATTTTTTATACTTAAAAAAGAAACATTATATAATATATATCGAGTTCTTAGGTTTTCGCGATTGTTACATATAGAAAATGAAACTATTTTTCCGGATTTAAATCGCGTATATATGTTTTTTCAACCGTGACCATGGGACCTGTAAAGGGCCCGAAACGTCGGTTTGTTTGAAAAAACAAATATACGCGATTTAAATCCGGAGAAATAGTTTCATTTCCTAGATATATAATATATTTATGTACGTACGTACTTTTATATCATTTAAAGTAATATTGTAGAAAATAAATATTAATGTTGGTTACAAGTAATGTTGTAGAATGTTGGTTATACCACTTTTGCGCCGACTGCATCAATTGATTGTTCAAGAAAATAAGCATGTAATTAATTACCCTTTAACTGAAAGTGTTTATTGATTAAAAAAACATCACAATTATCGTTTGTAAAAATCAATTCCGAACAGTGAAGAATTATAAAATAAGTGGTGAAAAAATAAATAAAGTTGCAGCTGTAACCTACAAAATATTAATTCGTGATAATGCATCTTACACATTACATATCCTTTTTATTTTTGTATTGTTCGCTCGACTGCCATGAACTTTCGGAAGTGAGTATGTATAATGTATTTAGGGGGTACGCAGAGTTCTACATGCTACGATCTTGACACGGATCTTTCACCTTATCACCTAACCCAACAGGAAAAGCGCATTTACATCGCATAGTCCATCGTAGAGAAATTAAAATGGAGAATTTCGATAGCGAAATATTTGTTTGGTAAATAAAAAATTCCTTCTGCATTTGAAATCATAAATGTTTAGAATACAGTGACAAGTTACAAGCAACATCTATGCTTCTAATTCCACATCAACAAATACACGGAGTCCCTGACCTAGGTACGAGTATATGGCAATAACTGCTCGGGGTGTCGACTGTATGCCCTTGTTTATGTAGCAGCCTAAGACCCATTTTCTAGAAAAGCTGAGATAAGATCGGAATTAACAGATCTCATGTAACCTTCAAAACCGAAACGCAATCAAAATCAAAATAATTTTTATTTACATAGGTAATCATTATTACACTGAAATCGTCACATTGGTTAAACTCTATCGCTCATTCGTAAGGCAGATTCCCTTGAGAAGAATGAGCAAAAAACCCTAGGGGTTGCTCTTTGTAAACAACGTTTGCACACATTCAACATTCACAATATATTTTTTTATGTTTTGAAACATCAGAGATCGAGACTACCTTCATGAGCTAAACGGTTATATTATAAATCTGGAAGTCTAGTTATTATTAATCTAGTTATATAATAAATCTGGAAAAATAATTTCAGTTCTTATGTGCAATAATCGCGAAAACCTAAGAACTCGTTAAATATTTGTTGTAAACTGAGTGTTAGACTACCCGATTGGTTCAATTCCCATGTGATTGCCCATCTCGGGCATGGTAACCGCTCATCTTCCACGGAAGCAGTTAAATGTAAGAAGAAGAAGTTTGCCAGGTATAAGAATAGAATAGAAAATCATTTATTCGACGAAAGCAAAAACATAAAAGAAAAGTTAATAACATTAAAAAAAAGAAGAGAAAAACAGAGTAACAATTAGGCTTGACAAAAACAACCAATCATTATATGCTACTCTGCATGCCCCTCCGAATAGGTCACCACCTCAGCATATTACCCAGCAAATGAGCAGGTGACCCATCTCTTTTTCGAAATTGATTAAAAACTTGACATATCTATTACAGGAACCTGATACTGGAATAATTGACATCATTGGACTTCCTGACATTGAAACTAAACTTCTGTCCAATAATCAATTGCGTAAACGTACTAGAGTTACGCTGCCTGCAGTGTGTGCAGGCTGCGTATCCGAAGTTAAGAACTATGATAAACAACTAATAGGAGACTTGATTGATAAGGCACTACACGAACTATACCTAACGGAAAATGTGGAATACTCTCGAGGAAAAATTATAAAAGTAAAATCTGGTGTAGTGGCTGGCATCATATACTACATAACTTTCCAAGCCACTAAAACTGACTGTAAGAAAATGGAATGTCCCATCGCAGAATGCCAGACAGATATAGTACAGAAGGCATGGCTTAATGAAACAAATGTCATATGTGTCGAGTGTAACTGAATCTTGAGAGTGATGGTAATGACAATCGTAATTCACAGTAAAATGTATTTTAACACTGTCTTGATTATACTCTAAATTATTTTCATTGTTACTTATTCATTTATTTACGTCCTAGACGCATTGTACACACACCACACACCAGCATTATATTTTGTTGACGTGTATTTAGAAGAAACGTTTCGTAATTTGTAACAAAAGATAATATTTTGTTTTGCATATCTTATCCTTTACTTTTAATCATTATTTCCAGCATTTCAGACTGACTCTTAGTTTATTTTTTGGAATTTAGGAGAAGATACTATTTTTTCTAACACCCGTGTATTTGTTTTTTCAAAGAAAGCAACGTTTCGGGCCGAAGGGCGATCTGTGAATACAGGTCGCACGGTCACATATGACAAATATACGCGATTTAGACCCGAAAAAAAACAGTTTTATTTCCTCTAAGTACCTAACAATCGCGTAAATCTAAGAACTCGATTTTTTAAATTTACTTAAGTATACCACTTTACCTTACTAGAAAGATGGCCATATATGCAATAAGAATTAAGTCTCTTTAATTTTCACCAGCTAAGCAAGATATTTATCATTATCAAATTAAACATTTTTAATTAACAATAAAAAATAAATAAATAAATCACACACTCGTAGCATTAGGGAAACCCTGTATCGCGGTTGCCACGTACAGATACAGAGACAACCACAGATTACACCCAAAGTCACAAAATAAATAAATGTAAGCCATACAAATATTTCTCCTGGCCCGGGAATCCAACCTCTCCTGTGTGACCTCTGCCTGTCTGCATGGTAACCGTTCGGCCACGGAGGTATTAATTAATACAAAATAAATTATAAAAATGGCTTCTAAGTAATAAAATAAATCATGCTTCTAGACGAAATGGACTCCATTGCTAATTCGCCACTATTACGCCAATTACTTGGTATACGGCGACTTGTAGCAGCGATCCAAACGCGCGTTCGTGTAACGCGCGATCGCATCGCTACACATGCGATTTACAGGCGATTGCATCGATGTAAACGAGCGGTTGCATCGATACAAAAAAAAATGCAATCGCATATAAATCACAAGTTTTCCGATGCAATTTTTTTTTTTTTTTTTTATTTATTCAGGGAAACAAACAGTCATAAAACAGGGGTTCTACTAAAACATTGATTAAAATAATTAGACCTAGAGTTCCACAAATATAAACAAGAAATAGTGAGCAAATACGGTTCAACTACAAAACAAGAATTATTAATAACATATAATAAAATAACAATACCTGATAAATAAAAACGCTTATAAAATTTTTTGAAAAATTAACAATAAATAGGTAAACTAATAAACTTAAAAAACTACTTCTCTTACTTTCTTCTTAAAACTTTGTAAGGTTAACCCAAAAATATCAATATTATTTAAGTTTTTGTTATAAAAATCCAGAGAGCGCCTAAAGAAACCATTTTTAGAATAATTTGTTCTACTAAATTTGCATGAAAAGGTAGCTTTAGAACGCAAGGAGGTGCGGACTGGAACTCTTAAATGAATTTTTTGTAGTAGTTCTGGCGAGTCAATATAATTATTTAACAGTTTGTATAAAACACACGAATCAATATAATTTCTTCTATTGCGCAGAGATGGAACCCTAAAAACATTACAAGAGGTGTTGTAGTCAATATATTTAATTCTTGTGCGAAAACAGAGATTTTTTATCAATTTCTTTTGCACTCTTTCTAATGCATCAATGTGCACATTGTAGCTAGGGTTCCAAATTACGCTTCCGAACTCCAAAATGCTCCTCACAAAAGATGAGTACAAAGTTTTTAAAGTAATGGCTTTGCGGAAAGGCTGTGAAATACGTAGAATGAAACCGAGCAATTTAAATGATTTAGAAATAATATTTTCGATATGATAATTGAAGTGTAACCCTGAATCGAAGACCACACCAAGATCCCTAATTTGGTTAACATGTTTAACAATAGTGCCATTTAAAATATAATCAAAAACTATAGGATTATTTTTACGAGTGAAGGTAATCATATGGCATTTAGCAGAATTGAGGTGTAGGTGATTGCTAACACAGTACATAGAGAATTGATCTAGATCACTTTGCAACTCTAAACAATCACTGTCTTTAGTTATAATTTTAAATATTTTTGTATCATCAGCATAAACTAAGTGTTGTGAATTTATAAAGATACCGTCAAAATCATTGATATAAAGTGTGAAAAGAAGCGGACCGAGATGAGACCCTTGAGGCACCCCGGAAGGTACATCCAGGAAGTCAGAAATACAGCCTTTAAGAGCCACAGCCTGAGTACGCAATTGTGCGCTTGTATCGATGTAATAGCGCGTTTGTATCGCTACTAAAAGTAGCTTTGTGCTACCGCTCTAAATGCGCCGTCAACATACGGACGCAGCAGTGTAATTTGTAATGTATGAAAGATGCCCTATGTAGCGAGTTCGAGCTTTAATGAGTCAGTTCCTGATTAACAACATTATTTTATTGTATTACAACACTCAAAACACACATAGGAGAACTTCAACAAGTCGATGACTTGACCTGTAGCTCAGTTGGTTAGAGCAGCGCTACGGTACAGCGTGGTTATGGGTTCAAGTACCATCGGGTTGAAGAAAACTTTCTGTGTGTTCGATATCTGTATTAATAACCATAACAAAACCTTATTTTTGTTTACGCATTTTGTATATTATTTATTTAGGTTAATTTTATTCCCAAGGTGCGAGAGAGGCTTGAAGGCAGCTAACACCGTTAAAAGCAATGCTCTTAAATAAAAAATAAGAATTTACTCTACATCACTTTTCCAATAACTTTAGCAAGTTGTAGGTATCATTTAAGGTACATTTTACAATAAACGTTAGAAAGTTAGAAAAAATTTTTAAATCTTGCTTTTGATATTCAGTTGAATTAAATGAAACAAATAATGCGATTAAATATTTATTTAACTCACACAAAAGTCTTCAACAATGCCCGTAAAAAAATAAGGAATAAATCCAACCCATACGTTAGGGAAGCCAAGTCTTCAATTAATATGTCGTTAGGTCTTTATTCGCGTGTGACGTCATATCCTGCAGCCTTACCAGATTTCATACTATTCAATGCTTTTATAATCCCTTCCATGCTTATATTTTCATCTTGACTTCCGCTCGTCTCTATGGCGGTCTGAGCCTGCAAATAACTTCAATGAACAAATGTACTTCTTCCTTTTCAAACAAACTTTCAAAATACTCCTTCCATCTCTTTAATACGCATTCTTCTCCTTTGACTACACTTGCATCGTGGCCTCTGATTTTTTGCAGTTGCGAGGTTGTGATTTTGCCTCTAGCTGTTCTTATAGACTTCCAAAACCATTTAATGTTGCTTTGAAAGTCATATATAATAACTTTCTGTCAAACTCGTCTTTCTAGCGCTCTTTCTTCCTTCCCACAACATCTTTCGCTTCACCTTTTATTCTTTTATACTCTTTCCATAATGTACTTCATACATTTCCAAGCCACTAAAAGTGACTGTAAAGAAAAGGAATATCCCATCGCAGAATGCTATACAAGTGTATAGCATTCTGCGATGCGAAGTACATAAGAGATGGCTCAACGAAACAAATGTTATATGTGTCGAGTGTGAATAAATTTTGCACGTGACGGTATGGCAATCGTAGTTCATGGTATAAAAGGCTTTTAACACTGTCTCTATTATTCTCTAAATCATTTTCACTGGTTACTATTTACTCAAACGTCCCAGACGTATTGTACACACACCACACAGCAGTATTATATTTTTCACCTCACTAGCTCGGAAAGGCTTTCTTTCTCATTAGAAATCTGTGCGCAAAAGCGTTTTTTCCACGCTAGCGTGGATAAGATTTTTGAAATTCGAACTGACTATGGACTATGGTGTACCTAATTTCTTTCAATGAAAATAGTTATTTTTGATATAAGTGCGGAAAGTTAGTCATTATTCACGAGTCTCGAGGCTTCTTGGCCCGAGCCAGAGGCGAGGGTCAAGACGCGAGACAAGTGAAAATGACAAATCCGCACGTGTATCAAACGACGTTTTTTAATACATTTGCGAAAAAATTACATTGAAAGTAAAATAAAACAGTATTTAAAAAACACTCATTTTCTGCTAGTAAATTAAAATAATGAAATACAACCACTGCAACCATTATTTAAAAGTCTATGGAAATATAATAGTTCTAACGTGCTGTTTTTGTTTATTTTCTGTAATATCGGTCTGTAACCACTTTTCTTATTATGAAGTCCTGGTACTTTTGTTTAAACTTCTTTAGCAACCCGTGCACGGTAGTGAGATACAATTTATCTGTAATACATAAAACAAATATATACATAAAAATCTCGCCTGTCACCCAAAAAAAAATGGAAAAGTAAAAAGCACTAGTGTGAAAATTCCAGCTTTCGGCACGATTTGTAGTGCGAAAAATACCACGTTTTGAGCAACTGTATTAAAAAAAATCATAATGACACATTAAACTACGCGATTTGTCGTATTTTTAAATAAAATATCAGTAAGTATATTTTATTCTTATTATTGTTGACATTAAATTGACAACGATAACGAAATTTGTTTATTAAATTGTTTTAATTCGTCGAAGAACTGACATAATTTCGATAATCACTCAAAATTATATTGTACCAAGCAAGAATATCAATTGATGAGGTGCAAATTCAGAACGCATCCGAAGATAAATTTTTTCTTTTGATAAAAAAATGTGACTCCGAAACGCGATTCGTCTTTTGTGTATTAAGTATTTATATATTATTAATCCGTTGGTATAATTTGTTCTGATTATTATTGACATTAAATTGACAACGATAATACAAATTTTGTTTAATTACATTATTTTAATTTGTCGAAAAACTAAAATAATTTAGTTAATCCATTGACTTACAGGTCAATGAGTTAATCACATAAAATTATAAGTATAAAGAAGAAGAAAATGTATGTGGTGTAAATTCAGAACGCACTCAAATTTAACTTACTTTATTAATATTTTCTTTAATCATATCATGCAATTGTATTGACTCAATAAAGATCATTAT